CGAGCTACCCAAAGCTTCCATCGTCACCGTCGCGGGTTCATTCACCAAAGAAGGCTGACCACGTATCAAATCGCAGGCCAAATTCTGACCAGAAAGACAAGCGCCATTAAGTTCAGAGTTAAGCGAAGCGGATTCTGTTTCTCGCGATTTGTTAGGGTGATCGGAGGGCACGGTACAAGGTAGATATGAAACACGCCGTTCTGGATCAAGATAAGATAAAACATTTCTTGGCTGCGACGTTGACCGATGACTTATCGACACGATTGGCGATGTTTGAGGGCAAGAGACAAGAGGAGCACCATCCGGCTTTTTAAGAAATTTGAAAGATAACGGATCAGATGCAAATGCTTTGATTGACTGATTTCCATTTTGTAGAAAAGAATCACGGGGTTGGGAAGGGGCCATCAATGGGGAACAGGTGAGGTGTCTGCTATGAGAATGTTGTCCAGTTTGATGTACTTGGCGGGCCGTGGTATTCGCTGGCAACGTTGAATGGCAAGAAGAACTGGCTACATTCGCAAAAGAGATTGAGGAATGCGGATTTGGAGCAAACCGACCTGTCGAGAGACCCGAGGCAGGCGCACTAGTGGAATGTAGCAAGCTTAGTACAGAATCAAGGTTGGCCAGACGTTGCTTGTAGGTGCGATAAGTGACCTAAAAAAATAGAAGTATAAATTATTTAAACGGCATTGATTCCTGGTCGATAAAGGAGAGATAATCGTCAGTAGTCAGGCGTCTAACAGGAACAAGATACGGTTCTCCCAAAAATGGAGATAGAATGCAGACCATTGCTAAATTAAATAAATGTGAAAAGAAATAATCTACATAACTTGGGTAGAGCGGATGCTTAAATGAAATTGTTAATTGGGATCCAGAGGGCAGATAGGTATCACCCGAAACTAGTGGTAAAGGTGCTCTTGGAAAGCATTGTATTAAACGAATAAAGGTGTAAATGGGTATAATGACCATACGGAGTAGGATTAAGCGATTAGGAAATAGGGCTAGGAACCAAGAAATTGTTGTTATGATCATTAAACAAGATCCCCTATGAGTTATGAGGGTATTGTATATCAATCCAAAAATGAATCA